AGACGGTAGTTTCTTTGAAAGAGAAGGCGGACATGTTAAAGCTGCACAAAAACTTTTTGAAATCTGCTTTCCTAAAATCTCAAATACAGATTTAACTATATCTGATTTTCATTTCTTTTCCTCCAAGATGCCAGACATTTTCTGCCAGAGAGGGTGGATGCCCTACCATAATTCATATTTTCAAATTCAATTCCTCTTAGTAGATCAATGTGGGCCATCCAGAGGAGACAAACCACTTGCTTAATTATTAAGATTTAGAGACAGAAATGATCTTGTCCAATCACTTCATTTCACAGATGAGAAAACTACAGCAGAAGAAAATGAAGTGATTTGCTTAAGGTAATTTCAGGTAACAAGTAGGAAGGAAACAAGCATTTATTAAGCACCTATTACGTATCAAGTCCTATGCTAAATGCTTTACTAATATCTCATACGAATCTTAAAACAACTCTGGGAGGTAGACTGTCTCCATTTTACAGTTGAGGAAAGCGAGGCAGAGCTTAACTGACTTGCCCAGGATCACAAGATAAACAAGTGTCTGAATTCAAATAGGAACTTAGGCCCACCATTCCATCCACTGTGCCTCCAGCACAGAAGGTATTCAAACCCAGGCCTTCTAATGCTTAAAGTCTGTGCTCTTTCTACCACATCTTGATTTCTCTAGAAACATGTCATAGACTTTTAATGGTGGTCTCTACATCAAGATTATTGGCCTGGAATCTGGGAGAATCCAATTAGTTTCCCCTTTTGAAAATCAGACATTTATTTGTTCAACTTCCATCTTGTGGCATATCTCCAATCCATTTCTGTCTCAGAATGCTATGGTGATGGCCTTTCTTGGGGTTCACAAAGTTCTCTGTACAGTAGAGATAAGTGACACATCAGGATAAAGTGAGCATCACTTCTGACTGAATTCCACAGACTTTCTCTACAATGTCATGGAAATTTCTTCACCCTGGAAGTTGAATCCACTCCTGGATGACCACTCCCATTGGAAGCAGCCTTCACCCCTGCAGCCTCTCCATCTAATTGGCTGGTTATTCCTAGAAACTGCATTTTAAGAAGTACAAGCCAATTATGTTTTCATTCCTCTTCAGACCATAGTTCTGACTTTCTCTACAATGACCCCCTGGCCAGGCTGAGTACTTTCATTCTCACTCCTACTTCAGCTTCCTTTTTCAGGTTGTCTTCCTTGATTACAATGTTTTTCTTTCTGCTTGTTTTGTATTCCTAACACTTAGCACTGTGCCTGGCACATAAGTACATAAGAAATGTTTGCTGACTCAAGATTATCAACAATAACTGAGGTAACATTTGCAAGGTACTCCAGCACCTTGGGATGCAATATACTTGGGGTGGCAGATGTGAACTGAAGGCAACTAAATGCTTTCTTACTATTTCATTTACTTTTGAACTATAACCCCCTCCTATTTGCATTGTTTTACCCTCTCCAGTCTGGGAACTCATTCTCTTTGTTGAAGAAGAGGAAAGAATTGAGTAGTTCTAATATCTCACTATCACCTATTACTATATCATTAGGTCAAACCATGAACATCTTTCATTCTTATAGTTGGTTTTGTACCATATTTAAAAGCATCCTTTTTTGTCCTTAGCATAGTGCTCAGTAACTCAAACTTTAGACAAAAATCACCAATCTCTGTAAGCTTCAGTTCTTATCTGTAAAATGAAAATAATATTTATACTACCTACCTTATGAAACGGAAAAGATCAAAATGAAGTGTATACAGAACTTTGCAAACCTTTTAACATTATATAAATGTCTTTTATAACAGTTATTACTGTAAACCTCAGTTCATTAGAAGGCTCAAGCCCTCATATACCATGCTGGGAACACAAACACAAAAGGGATCTCCCCTAAAGGCGCTTATAAACAAACAGGGAGAAATATCACATTTAAGGGAAGAGTGACCTGGAGGGGGCCAAAGGATTGGTTTATAAAGTCAAAGGGGAGGCAGTCCTAGTAAAAAGGTTGTACTCATTTGATTAGGGCTCCAGGGTTAGAAAGGAGGAGGGCAGGGTGTTTGGAGAGATCCAGACAAAGAAAGGAAGGAAACAGGAAATTTATTAAGAGCTACTATGTGCCCAAACCTTGCTTAGTATTAAACAAATATTAGCTACTGACTCTTACAACCACCCTGGGAAGTAGATGCTATTATCATCCCCATTTTACGTGAAGAAAACTTGCCCAGGGTCACACAGCTAGTGTCTGAGGCCATATTTGAACTCAGGTTTTCCAGACTCCAGGTCAGTGCTCTACACACTGTACTACCTGGTTAACTAGGTACCAGAGGGTATGTCATTGTCAGTTAGGATAGGAAGAACAAAGTCAGGAAGTATGGTTGATGCTGGCTAGATGGAGAATGTGATGCTCGTTGTCACCAATAAGGACAGTGAGGAGCCCAGAGTAAGAATTCCAGCTTCAGAGAGCTGTCACTCCCAAGAAGGTGAATTTTTTTTAAAACTACTTTTAAAACCAAAGATCAAAGGCTCCTAAGCAGTTAAACTCATCCTGGCCTTTGTAGCTTACCATTTACTCTCTTTGGAATCCCTAATAACTATATAGTCCACATTTCATTGACACCTACCTGGCCCAGCCACAGCACTACCCCCTGAAGACAGGGAGACCTGGGTTCATAAACGGTCTGAGTTACTTCCCAGTTATGTGATCCTGGGTATGTCACTTAAACTGTTTGCTTCAGTTTCCTCAACCATAAAATAGAGATAATAACAGAAACTACCTCCCAGGGTTGTTGTGAGGCTCAAACAAGATATTCGTAAAGCACTTAACACAGTGCCTGGCACATAGTAGGTGCTTTACTACCTTTTCTTTAGCGTCTCCCATCTCAGTGGCCAGCTTTTATTTCCCCTAAAGTTTTAAAATCTGCTTTCCTAAAATTTCAAATATAAATCCAGCTATACTCGATATTTATTTCTTTTCCCAGCTGGTACAAACCACAAGATGACAGTAACTTTCTCCCAGTTACTAACATTAACGTATCACAAAATTGTTCTTTCTAGTTGGCCGTGATTAAATCCAAAATTCCCTCAGCAAAGAAAATAAAAATTCAACAGATGTTTTGCTTTTAGAGAAATGAAACTTCCAGCAGATGTCTCAAGAATTTAACTCCATTGCCAGAGTGGACCATTATATGGATTTTGTGATCTGTATTGGGAAAACATTCATATATCCATAAACTGGTGTGAACTAAAAACGAAAATTAAAGTGACATAAAAACAGCATAGCAGGGGCAGCATGTGTAGAAGTCACAATGCCCTGACATCAGGAATATTTGGGTTCAAATCCTATCTTTGAATTATTTACTCTATGCTCTTAAGCCAGTCACTTAAGCACTTAGTTCCCTTATTTGTGGGGGGAAAAAAAAGACATAATAAATTATATAAATGTCAATTAAAGAGGTAGGAAGAAGTTCCTACTTCAAAAGGCAACCTGGAATAGTGGATAAAGAGCTGGCCTCAAAGCCAGAAAGCCCTGGGTGAGTCCTGTCAATTATATGTACCAGTAGTATGACCCTTGGCAAGTCACTAACCTCTCAATGCTTAGGGCATTGAGAGAAAACAGGTGTTTTTAATCTAGAGTCCTTGAACTTAAAAAAATTTTTTTTGATAACTTCAATGTCATTAATTTCCTCTGTAATACACTTTAAAAAAATATTATTCTGAGAAAAGGTTCACAGGCCTCATTCAGGAGATTACCAAAGGATACATGAAACAAAAAATTTTAATAACTCCTTATCTAAAACCATAAGATGCCAACCTGAACTAGTAGAAGTTTCATCAACCAGAAGTTTCCTCTACCAATGACATCACAGATCCCTCCCATCCTCATTCCTACCCAAAGGATTGTTGTGAAACTCAAAAGATATAATCTATAGAAAGCACTTGGCAAACCTTAAAGCACTCTATCAACCTTAGTTATTAATACTGAAACTAATAAAGAAACTAGTGAACTAGAGAAAGGCACTCCAGTACACAGCTGCAAAGTACTATATTATCACACAAACTATTAATCTATGTCTAAAATTCTGCCTTTTTCTGATGGTTGTAGTAATAAATTTTTACAGGAAAAGGATTTTTAATAGCTATACATACTAGAACGTTAAACACGTTAACACATTCTGACTCAAGATTCAATGTAAAAAATGAAAAGCCAAATCGTACTTCAACAACCAAAATATTTCCTCTTAGTCTACTCCCATGGACCTTGAAGCACCTTTCACTCACTAAACTCACTAAAGAACTACAAATAAACTCGCAGAAGGTAAGCACAAAATAAAATACTTCATGATCATTCTATTTTTTGTTTGTTTTCTATAAAAAAGGAAGGTATAAAGAAATGTAGTTCATTTTACTTAAAAAAAAAAATCTAGAGAAATAGCTACAAAATTCCAGGACTATCTTCTCCTTTTGGTTCCCTTAAGAGTTCCTGTGGAAGCCCTTTAAATTCTTTAATATAAATTTTCTTCCTCTCATCACCTTTTGTTCCAAATATCAATTCCAGCACAAACCTTACAGTAAACCATTCCCATCCCTCAAAATTATCCTGTACACTCACAAGAGGAAATTTTAGCCATTTAAAAAATTTCAGGTGTTACCTTATAAACGGCATAATAATAGCTCTCATAACTTGGGACTAACTTTTCACAAGCAATGAAAAAAACTGATGCCACATTGCCTTTCTTGAGTAGAACCGCTTCTGTTGCCCTTTCTGTTTTATTGATTCTTTAAAATTTTCAACATTTCTACTTTTGTTGCTCAGTTGGGGATTTTCGATTTGTTCTACTCTTTTTAGTTGCACGCCCACTTCATTGATTCATCCGTTCTTTGGGTGAGGAAACCTAATTTAGAGATCAATTTTTTTTCCCCTTTAATTACTGCTTTTAGCTAAGTCCCCTAAGCTTTGGTATCCTGTCTCACCCCTATCCCCCCAGCCTGACCCTCCCCAAACCACCACTACTCACTCTGCAGGCTCCACGTAGGTGAACTCCTCCAGGGACAAGGACATGCTCCCGAACACCTCCGAGCTGCCAAAGCTGCCGAGTACAACGTTCCCGGTCCTCGGGCACTCCGGGCTGCGGAAGAACGAAGAAGGGTGGGAACTCACTGACCTCCGGCCGCACTCGGCAAGAGAACCTAGTGGACAGCCTCCTACCCCATTCCCCCGCGAGGAATCAGTAATAGGAATGATAATAAGAGGATATAAATGCTTTAAGGTTTACAGTGTTTACCGTGTTATCTCATTAGGTAAGTGCTGCTATCCCTGTTTCATAGAGAGGTGAAGCGACTAGCCGAGGAGGGCAAGCAGAGGAAGTGAGTAAAGCAGCATTTGAACCTGGCTCCAAGTCAAGCGCTCCTTCTATCACTGCGCCAGGGCTACCACCTGCAAGGGCCGAAATTGGTCTCGAAGAAACTTGCCCGAAACTTCCCCACCCCCACCCCCAAGAAAGGGAAAGATGAAGATGCGGGGGGATGATGGGGGGGCAGCTAATGCGAAGGAGGATAAAAAAAGAGAAACACACGCAACAGCGCCAACGTCAGAGTCATACACACTCATCCGCTACACCCCCAAGTGCCGCGACCGTCTGCGCCCCCCTCTCTCTCTCTAGCCCTCCGTAGCCCCCACGCACCCGGCCCACCCGGCCCGCGGGGCGGGGGTCCCGGCCCTCTACGGGCCGCCGCGCCCAGCCCCCTCCCGAACCCCGGCCGGCTCCGCTCGGGCGGCTCACCGCGGAGTCCCCGAGAACAGGGCGGGGAAGTCCCGGGAGGCCGCGGCCGCCTCCAGCTCCAGCTCCAGCTCCGCAGCGTCTTCTCTTCGGCTGCCGACGCCGCCTCCACCCGCTCCCAGGTCCCGCTGACTTCTGAGGCTGCCGGGGTTGCAGCTGCGAGCCGTAGCCGCGGGGACCCGGAACCACTTCCGCCCTGAACCGCCTCTTCCTCCCCGCTCGCCTCCACAGACACCAGGCTGCCTCTACTTTCCCATCCTTCCGCAGCTGGCCCAGCTGCAGGTTCGCTTCCGCCTCCCTCCTGCCTCTTTCTCTGTGGCACGCGCACTCACCTGGCACCTAGCGGGGGCGGGCGAGGGCGGGGGAGGGCTGTGTGCGCATGCGCTCCCCTAGCTCTTGGCCCGGCGTGGGTCAAAGGAGGCGGGCACGCTGGAAGGGGTCGCACGCGCATTCCCGCCCCCTAGAATGGGGCAGCGGTCCCCCCTCCCCCTAGGGTTGGGGTGGGGGAAATAAAAAGGGAGCAACCCGGAAGTGAAGGATAACCGTGGCCTAGGGATCATGACCGGGGTATAACCTTCCTGGCATTGTCTCTCGCCCGAGAGTGGGTACACACCGACTTGACACTTTGCCCCTCCCTCAGCCAAAGCCCCTCCCCACCTCCTCACTCGCTCAGTGACTTAAAATATGTAAAGCTCTTTGCTAACCTGGAAGCTATATAAATGCTAACCATCATCATTATTATTATTTGTTGAAATATCTGATTCCCTCCCAGCCCAGCTAAGGCCTTCTGACCTTTCCTGAAAAGAGTATGGGCACCCGAGTCATAAATTCAAACACACCCCACTGCCCTCTCAACTCCAAGTCTGCGCAGAGCTGGGCACCCCCTAGTTTCAACTCTGACTTTTGGTGTCCCAAATCTGTTCAAGTGATTTTGTGCTTGAGCTTCCAATTAGCCAAGTAATGCAGAAGAGCTATAGGAGGACTGGCAGTATTAACTAAGTCAAAGAGTGAGTGACTTGACATACCAACAATCCTTTGCGATGACCAAGAGTAAACCCAGCTGGAAACTCATACCAGCTTTGAAGCAGACCCTGAGTCATTTGGTGGTTTATGGACCTTCAAGAGACATCCCTATCTTCAAAAACTTTTCTGACTGCAGGTTATGGGACTCTTGGACACATCTGTGTTTTATGGTTTTTGGAGACAACATTGTCTCCAGGGACTCCTGTAATTTTGATTATGGGGCTCCCAGAATATCCCATTTTGGGGAGACATCTCCTTATCAAGCCTTGAACTATGGACTGCTTATCACTAAGAATGCCTTCTAATTTGTGTATCAAAGGACCATAGCTCAGACACCAGGAATTCTTCATGCCCCCTCTCCCATTGGGAATGAGGGCTCACTGACTCATTCCTTTCTAAGCCCACCTTTACCCCCAAATTCTTTACCTTCCTTTGTTTAAAAGCTACATAAAACTCTTACCATCCATTACCTAGTGTCCTGTTCAGCACAGGCTGGACAGTGCCCATGCAGGTGTGGGTTTTTTTCTTCCCTGCTAAATAAAAACCTTTCTCTAATTTTACAGGCATTGTCTTCCTCTGATTTTCTTCCCTTTAGGGAAAAGGGGGATTTACATCTCAAGAGTTGGCCTTTGTTTTCTCCAGGCATCTTCCCCTTTGATGGAAAGAGAGATCTACATTCCCTCAAGAAAGTATCTGCCTTGGTTTACAAACCTTACGCTCATTTTGGTTTTATGCACCTAGTTAGGAAGTTAGCCCATAAATAGAGACATCTTTCAGCTGGCAGTTGACCTCTTACAGCTGTACATCTTTGATCCCCCAATAACCTTTATAAACTTCAATTTAATATCTGGTAGCCACTAGAATGTAAGTTTGAGGGTAGGGACTGTTGATTTTTATATTTGTACCTATAGTACCTAGCACACAATGTTGGCTTACATAAATGCTTGTTGATTAAGTAGCAAGTTGTAGATTATGACCCCACAAAAAGGAAAACTTCCTATCAATTATCATCATCATTAATAACTGGCTTTTGTTGTTGTTCAGTCATGTCTAACTCTTCTTGACCCCATTTGGAGTTTTCCTGGGAAAGATACTGGAGTATTTTGCCATTTCTTCTCAGTTCATTTTATATTTACAGATGAATTTACAGATGAAACTCAGGCAAACAGGGTTAAGTGACTTGCCCTGGGTTACACAGCTAGTAAGTGTTTGAGGTCACATTTGAACTCAGGAAGATGGGTCTTCCAGACTCTAGGCCCCAAACTTTATTCACTAAGCCTGGTAGCAGCCTCAGCTGGCATTTAGACTGTGCTGTAAGGTTTGCAAAGCACTTTAGAAGTGTTATCTCAGAGCCATTCAAATGTGAAATGGGCTGCCTAGGCAGAAGGAGGGGCTCGGGGTTCTTATCGCTAGAGGTTTTTTAATTCAAAGCATAATGTTATATGCAAACATCTGGAAGGCCTCACCCTCCACAGACTACAATCACTCTTTGACCTGAACTGGTTCTTGTCTATCACAGTGGCAAACATCTTTGGCAAGCATTCATCTCCCTGTTTTATGCCCGATACTCATTATTAAATGGTTTTTGAGCAGGGTTATTTCAGCGTTATATGTTCCAACCAATCTAGAATTATTCTGCTATATAGACAGGAGACATCTTGTTAGAAAAGAGCCTTGAAGACAGTGTTCTACTGAATCAAAAAAAAATTTATGGTCAATAAACAATAAGCAAAATAGGATGTTATAATCTCTTCAGGGAGATATAGCACCTCTGCTGTGAGGGGTTGCTGAGCACTTTTCAGGGTTGCTTATTCACTTTTGGTGTGTACCTTTACCCTACTCTGAGGCTCCAAGAAGCTGTAGTATGTGCAGCAGCCACACCCCAGTAAAACCATCTTGGCAGAGGTTCTAAACCAGGTTGAGGATAATGGAGGGCTTTCAAACCCGTTGGTGAGTTAGGAGGATGTCTACCCCAAGTGAAGACTTCCCCTGGCTAAATGGGTAGATAAGAACTATTTGTTTTCAACAGCCATGAAGGCAGCTGAAGCAGGCACCATGGAGCTCTTAGAGCTTGGTCAGACATCAAAGATGCCAAGATCATCCCTACATCCCATGACTTTTGTCTTGCCACTGGATTCTAAGACTAGAAGAGAGTGAGGCTGATGACTTTGTGCAACTCTGTCTCACTTAGATCCAATTCTTGAGAAAGTCAAGACGTTAACCTGTCATGTCACTGGTCCTCTTTGAAAATGAAGGACAAGAGGGCAGCTAGGTGGGGCAGTGGTTAGAGCTCCAGTCTTGGAGTCAGGAGGACCTGAGTTCAAATCCGGCCTGAGACACTTGACACTTACTAGCTGTGTGACCCTGGGCAAATCACTTATCTTGGATTGCCTCACCAAAAAGCAACAAAAAAAAAAAAAAAAAAAAAAGACAAACAACAATTGTTAAATGATAAATACATGATCCATGGCTGAATGTTGCGTGAGAAAACCTGCTTCTTTCTTACTAAGATTCTTGTCAAGGATTCCCAACAGGAAGCCTTTCCCAATCACTCTTAATTGTAATGCATTCCCTCCGTTATTTCCAGTTTATCCTGTATATAGCTTCTTTGTACACAATTGTTTACATGTTCTCTCCTCCTTTAGCTTGTTAGATACTTGAGGGCAGGGACTGTCTTTCACCCTACTTTATATCCCCTGCCCTTAGCACAGTCACTGGTTCGTAGCAGATGCTTAATGACTGTATATTGACTGAGATGAATCTTGTACAGCTTTTTTATAAATGGGAAAGTAGGCATATAAGTCAATAGTTATTGTAGTTCTCTTAATTGCTTTTTTCCCCTATATTAATAAAGTCTGAGATTTTTTTTTCCCTTGTCTTTATTATCTTCTCCTCTTTCAGATATTTTGTCTATACTGGTTCCTCAATGCCTTCACAATTTTGTCTAATCAAGCATATATTTCCTCTGTATATACTTGGTTCAATCTGGCTCCTTTGTTCTCTTTAGTGATATTTTTTACCTCCTCTATAAGAATATCTGGTGTGTTGGTTTTATTGTCCTTGAGAGAAGATTGTTACAATGACTTTTGCAATATGTTTTCCATTTTTCTTTTATTTGTAGTCCTTCCATTTTTATCCTTAAATGTCTTTGGGATGAGAATATCTTTAATATCAACCCTTTAATATGCTCCAACTTTAGATATCTTCCCACAATTTTCTACCTTCTGTCTTGCTGCTTTGAAGCAACAGAACAGACTCAATTCATCAATCAGCATTTATGAACCTTCTACTGCATGCCAGATGCTATGCTAGGTACTGGAAATACAAAGACACAAGTGCTAACATTCTATCAGGAGACATAAAAAGCTTCCTTCAAGGGTTTTAACTTCTCTTGCTTCTTCTGCTTAATGAGATGATACTGCTCATAAATGTCCATCATCCATCTTTTAAAGATCTTAGAAATGATTTTAGCTTCTAACTCAGTGTTACCATTTGACAGGAAATCAAATGTTAGCTGATAAAGTGCTATCTGGGCTTTTTTGGTCCCCTTGTAGAAATTAATTTATATTAGTTAAATTTCTGGATAAAATTGTTATAGTTGGTATTACTGCCATTTCTGTTGTATGTTTCTAATTTTTTATTTTCAATTACTTTTTTATATAATCCAGAGTCAAGCTTTTTCAGTTGTATGCTATAAATTTTAATATATATTTATTTAATATATATTTATATATATTTTAATATATCTATTTAATATAAGTTCCCTAAAAGAAAGAAACATTTTATCTTTGCATCCCCAGCACCTAACAGGGTGGATGCTTAATAATTATTGAATTTGGGGGCAGCTAGGTGGTGCAGTGGGTAGAGCACCGGCCCTGAAGTCAGGAGGACCTGAGTTCAAATCCAGCCTCTGACCAAACACTTGACACTTACTAGCTGTGTGACTCTGGGCAAGTCACTTAACCCTAATTGTCTAAAAACTAAAATAATAATAATTGAATTTAATTTCCTCTCACAATTTTCCCCAAATACTGTCACCTTTAAATTCCTCTATCCCTCCTTTTTTCAAGCCCTTCACCCTTTTGACTTTACTTCTCACCCTTCA